GTGTCCAAATGCCGTCTGATGACCAGTCTCTTAACACTGGTATCTCCTACTGTAGAACATTATTCCAACAAGCGCCTCCTCTCAGAGAGACGAATGGTGACAGTGCTTGTATAAGTGTTCTCAGGTGAGGATGAGGCGTTTGTATGGAATGCTGAATGTTATGTAACTTCCGTCTCGATTTTACAACCTGCAAAGTGAATTCACAGCTTCAATGAGACTTAAGCTAACTCATTTGAAATAACTCATTTTGAAACGATAGTTTTGTGAAAAATGTTGACGAAAAATCGTGTGGAATTAGTTATTAATCTGAGCCACTTTATTATTTATTGAAGTGACTATTCATGTACAGATATCAAGTAGGCTGAAAAAATGTGTTTCATTTCGAAAACAAATAGTCGTATAAGTTGTTTTTTTACTGAAATATGTGTGTACTTTGAAACCAACATCAAAGAGACTGATAGAGGGGGAGATAAGATAACAAGACGCACTTTTTATTCTGATTTATGTAGTTTTAGTTTAATCACAAAATAAATTACACCATAATCTTTAGACTCACAGTTATATTCTCGTGTTAAATAAACAGTTTTGAGTGTTTATTTTTTATGAAAACTATTTTGTTAGATTGTAATGATACGTGTTAGCATAGTTAAACAATTAATGGCATGACTGCGTTTATATTCAAAATCATTTTCCTTCATATTCAGTCCTGCTTCATAATGATCGTCTTTTAGAAGACTTATATTATTACTATAAGAAATCAACGAATTCGGCGATGGCGTATTTAACGTGCAAACACTTGGATGAGGCTGATAATGAGAAAGTCATTCAGTTGGTTTCCTTCACCGTTGTGTTGTCTATTGTAGCGTCACTTTCAGTGACTTAGCGCAATTAGGATGGGATCTGTTTGAAAGTAATCTTGAAAGGGTTATGTAAATTTAGAATAATATATAAAATAAGTGCTCAAATTTATTTGAAGTTCAGTAGAACCTCATTAAAATATGACTTCCTTCTTGGGGCTACGATCAGAAATATTCAAGAACATTGAATTCGTGCTTCAGTATCTTCAGCGTTCTTGTCGTTTATGAAAGATGAAAAGTATCCTTACGGAATAGTTGTGCGAAAAATCTTAAGGAGTCTGTGAGTAAAAAAGACAGTCAAATTTCTAAAATAATACGTGAAGCTTTGTGATGTATTACATGCCTGTGAAAATGTACCCAATGTGGAGCAAAAAATACCTGTCGAGGTTTAGGTGTTAATCTGAGTGATTACTTGGTTTCACTGCAATACTTCGCAGAGTTTAAGACACTCGAGCATGTTGGGGAAAATGATGAAAATATCCTCAGTCCTTGAAATGGAAATGGATATTGTAATAAACTACATTCTAGTTCTCATGAAGCAAGTATTTTACACAAAGTTTTGCTAATAGGAGAAACACGAAACAACTGTTGTGTTGGATTGTGTAGCACCAACATATTAACATTCATTATGTGTTATAGGAAACTAAGTCGTGCAATAACAGTTTGGTGTGAACTCAGACGAATGTGGCACTCACAATCTCTCCTGTTATGCCAGCACCGAAGAATATAATACAGGTAGTCTTCATTATAGCCACATACACACACTCATGTTCAGAAAATGTTTTCTTCACAAGCAGACAAAGCCACATTCGAGAGTCCAACTTACCATTACTAACAAGTCTCATAGCATGAAGACAGCCGATATCGGGATCACAAACAGAAACATACAAACCAATACGAAATACTACTATACAATTTTACTGTACATGAATAACTCTTTCTCTTTTGCGTGATGGTTCATTTCTGTGAGGCGAAACCTCTCATGGCTTAACTCTCCACGCTGTTTGTTCAGTCAATCTGTTTTCGATGATCTAATTTGGAACTGTCTCAAAGAACCTGAGTCTTCAAGATTCATCGTCATTCTCCGTCAAACATTCAAACCGAGTGAATCTGAATAATCTAAAACTGCTTAGGTTAACATGTATGATTAAGAAATACGAATAATATGAAATTAAGTCAGCAAACAAAGATCACATCAGTCATTCGCCTTCATCAGTACACTATGTTTAAGTGATTTTCAGAGTGTGAATGCGAAGAACATTGAAAAAGTATTTCAGCAAATAAGAAACGAAGAAATTGTTTTTATTAGTAAACTGGTGTCTGTCATGTACATACAAGTGAGGATACATGATCATTTTTAATAAAAACGGTAAACAGAGTTATAGTAGCACAGCAAATACCTATGCAGAGCCTAAGAAAGCAGATGATAACTAGAGATAGTAACATCCAGCATTTCATTGACGAATACATTCCAGTCTCGTTTTCTCTAACATACTCGTAAGTGAAAATTGCCTTGTGAATAAAGTCTTTCTCATGCTTTTCTTGTGAGATGAGTGAAAACTCTCTCGCTTAATTTGTCTAACACTTTCAAGGAATACGAATATTTCTACTGTTAGAATCTGTCATGGGATCTCTCCTAAGGAAACACGATATCTGTCATCATCATTTATGGACACCAACCCTCGTGCTTTAACAAAACGATGACCAGTAATCAGGACAGAGTTCTTATGATCAGTTAATCAAGACAAGATGTGGTCACAAGAATTAAAATGCCCACAGACTTTAGATAGAGAACCTGAGAGCGTAGTAACCAAACTTAAGGAATTAAGACAAACATTTAAAATGAAGTGGTGCTGAAGACACCTGGCGAAAACACTAATCAGCATCAGCTTCAGTAATCTAAAGAGACATTGTTCTTCCAATTATCTTACTCAAGCAGCATCATTTCGTCCATGGATGGCATGGATGAGGCCACATAGGATCTAGTCGAGAAGACCAAATAAGAATTCATTACTCTGAAGTCGGCGTAACTATCTTCACCACTTAAAATTAGAACAGTATTCGAATTCTTAACACAAATGTTAAACCAAAGCTGATTTATGGTACAGTAACTTGATGTATCTTTCAAAAAAATCATTTCCAGCACCATGAAGATTTTCATCAACAACTGTCCCCCTTCTACACTTAAGATCAGATGGCCAGTCAGAAAGAATATGCATGAAGTAACTGTTACAGCAAACGAGTCAATAGTCTGCAGCTCGACGAACATTCAGAATGAAATGTATGTGGCTTTGGTATGCTTTGAAGATGGATTCAACTAGCCTCCAACGCCATTTCCTAGAATAGTAGTTAGACGATATGTGATCACTTAAGTATTCAATAATTACCTGGATAAGAATATAGGAGGGGAAAATAAAAGCTAATTGTTAGTCGTTGAACCAAATAGAAGTGATGATGGGAAACCAAGTGATGTTGTGACAGTGAAGCTGTGAGGTGGACATGGACTACATTGATCATTGATAGGCGTTCATACAGCGCCGACTAACAAACAGTGTGCTGAGATAAGGTTCATTTTAATGTAAAAAGCAAACACTCAAAGCCTGTACACACTCAGACAGCCAAAAGTTATTTCTTTCAAAAGAGTGTATTTCAGTGGATAATAAAAATATTTTGAAATTGCATTTTAATAAAAAAGAAATCAATAAAACTCTGATGCACAAAAGGGTAAGAAGCAATCTTCATTCACTTTTTCTTGTTTGTTCATGTTCTCGAAATTTCAGCTGGGCAGAAACCTGGACCATTGACTGGATGAGCTTCTATGTTGTTACTGAAATAAATCGTCAAACAATTACATGGAGATTTACAATCAGCTTTGTTGTTTCACACATCGAATAACTAGAATTGGTAGACATCGATAATGCATATACAATGTAAGTGCTTCTTGTTTAATTGTTATGTTTTGTGAGCATGCATCAGTTCACTTACTCTTTTGGAGCCAGATACATTGGTCATTCGATGCGTGAGCTGCCAGGAAAGGTTCCCACTCATGATAGCAGAATTGTAGTAGTTCTCTCTTCAGAAGTACGGTAATCGAACATTTAGCGAGAAACGGCCGTTCCATCTGCACAAACGCCTCCTTCAAAGTAATCTACGAAGTGAAGAACAACCTATGGAGAGTAATATTCTGTCTTCTCCTATGCATTGCTGAAACCTTAACGATTCATTTAGGAAAATCGGATATGTGCGTACAAAAGGAAGTTATTCAATCATATCTAACGTCATCGCTACAATTGTGTTGATTTCTAATCACTTGATTTTAGTTTGTTTGATTTTCTATTTCTGCCTAACTCCCGTATGTCTTTGGGACTCTCACGTAACTCGGCATTTTCCTTCGTTTCTATGTGAATCCTGACTAAATAATTCATCTTACTATGTAACTCTGATACACATATTCAACTCTTCATATGCACTGACAAATATCGACTACTATTTTTCCGACAACTCATCACTTTCGGTGCTACCGTCCAATGAGAAGAAATCTACATAAATGCGATTTTACAGCTAACCCGGAGAGGGATTTTACCGAAAAGAGACTCTTTGCTTAACTACGTGTTTTGTCTTCAAATTGTTATTTATCGAGTTAGGTGATTTGCTGACAGTATCAGACACAAAACCATCAAATTAATCACCAGGGTTAAAATACAGCCTTCACAAGGACCTATACGACATTCATCATGTGCAGTGAAGAGCTCTAAGATGTTTAATGCATCCCGGGAGGAAGAATCGTTTAGTGGAATTCAATTTCCATTGAGATACTTTATTAATTCTTTGGATTTTGCAATCGCTTTAACCACGCAACATTCAAATAAACGCGGCTGGATAAATTTTCTAATTTCCCTGCTTGTGCTTATATTATATGCAACTAAAATGAAGTAAGATAAGATTCCCCTTTGGAAACAGAAATGGACGTCACATACTTTCCTGCGAGATCAAGAGACGATGAAAACTGTGATTCAACAGTGAAAGTAGTGAATGAATCTAACAGTGAGTATTTCGGAAAAAGGTCATGGTACAAACATATTGCAATAGAACTTCACAATATACATGATAACACATGATTATACGAATACAAGGACTAACTACAGCATTCTGCATCGAAGTTCACCGATTCGTTGTGAAAATTCTTCATTCGTATCAGGGTTTCGCGACCATAATCTTTCAGCTATAGCAGCACCTCTGGGCCTGCATATGCATGCCACAGAGATAAAAGAAGATACTTAGTTGCAGTCAATAAAGCAAGAAAAATGAGGTCACACTAAACGTTTTTGTCAGGCTATTCAAAAATCGGTCTGTCATAAACTGGATGTCTCCCTGAATCATTTCTTGCATGAGTCTCGCCTTCGTAGGATATACGAAGGCGTATCAGTCGATATCTGTCCAGCTGTGCCATTCGTTGATGAAAATATGCAAGTCTAAGAGAGGCCAGCGTCAACCTAGTCTGAAAATTCAGTAATGGTCATTTGATCTCGAAATCAGTAGGACCTTCAACCCCATTTTTAGCGGTTAACATTCAAAAATAGTGACTGTTAAAATATGCGATACGTTGAAAACAGTCATAGGAGTACTGTAAATCACAATTCATCTTTGTGATATTCGTTATATGATTGGCTAACAATGCAGTCGCATTGATTTGTCCATCCTGTTTCATCAGAACCTGTAGGGATGTTGTCGAATGCTCATATTGTAACAGAGACACAGCGTTGAGTTACTTTGTCATTTTCTGCTGCAAATGTCATTTTCACTAAGTCGTCTTGTCGACTCCGAAAATCGTTATATACACTTGGTTCATTTCCACCTAACCCAGCTAAAAACATTTTCCTAAATGTTCGAAAAATGCTAACGCGAAGAGTTCTATGAATGATTCACAGAATGTACTTACCATGCCAGAGTGATCATAATGGTCTCATCCACGCGTCTGCCCCATATTGTAGCTTCACCACCAATGACTAATGATACCTGCTCGTCTGAGCCTGTAAAAGACATGATAATTATTATTATCATCACAGGAAGCTGATAGACTGAGTGATGATTAGTGTAATTTGCAAATTCAGATATGCCGAGTTCACCGGTGAAGGAAACATTTGCAATTCGTATGGCTTTATATGTTAAGGTTTGATGTGTCGCTGTCTTCTGAATGAGAGGAGTTGGCAGTACCGATAAAGTTAGACACTAATTTTTGATTTAGAAATGGTCAGTTAAATACCTAATTAAGGGTGCGTTTTATTTGAAACATCGAAATGCCTAGACAGAAATGAGTTTCGAACTTTGATGTCCTCAGCATAAAGAACAAAATTCTGATTTTCAATACAAATGTCAAGTCAGTCACTTCTTGTATATGGATCAGAAACATGCGATGCGCAACGAGAAACTCTGAGAGCAAACCAACCAAGAATCTGTTGTGCAACAAATATTTAAGAGAAAACAACATTGATACACCACACACTGACGAGACCGTTGGGTGAAATTTTATTCCTGGCCACCACAGTTTCATCTGTATGAACAAGGAAATACTCTCCTCCATTACATATTCATTTGCATGGAAAATACTTATAATAATCAAACGCCTCAACCTTTATCTTTGCTACAGCTACAATATTTACCACTATGTCTCAATTATAAATATAACTTTCTGTCAACCCATCGTCTAAACAGTATTTGGAAACGAGATCAAGATGAAATTTTCACATTCGTGTACAAAATTCATGTTGGTGATGCAATAACTGCAGGTTTTGTAGTCCAACGAATGATTTACGTTCAAGACCATTGGTACGAACTCACTTCGTGATGTTCGCCCTGTTCCCATCGCTACTGTCAGTCGCCACCTTCGAAATCAAATAGATGCTGTAGCATAAGCAGAAGATCACAAGGTTAAAACTGTGATGGTTTTAAATTTTCACAGTAATAGTCTAACTGAGTAACCGACAAATTCTTCTACCACATGAAATGTCTCATTACTAGATGTGATCAGACTGTGTCAGATTAAATAAGCAGAAAAACCGATCTGAGACAGGATACTGATGAAAATGCAATCGAACAATCTGGAAGACCAGCTTCATACAACCAACATATTTGCTCATTTGTTAACTTAACCCTCCGAGGTACGTGGTATTGATAAATGATGTATAAAGGAATAATGCATGCGAATTGTTGGTGCGGAGTGTTTCATCCTTCCGTCTTCATTTACGTGAGTTCTGGCAATCAGAAGTAATTGACGAACCAATACTCGTGTCGAAATCACCAATCATCAGTCCTAATACTGACGCCAACATCAATTGCTCTTCTTTCACAACAAGTTTCGGTTGAAATTATGCAAGCTAAACTGCTTAGTCGCGAGCGACAGAGAGGCATGCAGTAACAAAGTGCCAATTATTCAGGATTATTTGGATTGTGACGCCATGGAATTCAGACCATCTATCTTTTCACCTTACTCAATTTCGAGCACTTCTTCTCAGGTACACATTTTTTGTTGAATGTGAGACAGAAATCTGAGTTAACATTTGTGACTTACTTGTCATCGAGGTGCATGCATACTTCATCAGATCTAGATTCATTACTGAACGATGGCTTTTGAGGATGTGCTTGTTCAGTGTTTAGGAATCTGCAGTTAAACCACCCAGCTCACATAATACAACAACACTAAAAGCATCCAAATGATCTAAATATTATCTTCTTTATTCTTGAATTCTTAAACGTCAGAATCCTGAGTTGTATGACCTTGGCGGCCTGTTTGAATTTTTGGGCCTACCATCATAACATCTACATATTGCATCCAACCTACCATTTATGAATTCTAAAAGGATCATTTACTCTCGTAACTTTATCATTCATTTACGACCCAATGACTTTCATATTCCCAAGAAATCAAGGAGGAAGCATCGTAGTGGCTGGCAAAGAGCTCTTAAACGTACACCAATACACTTAACTACGGTCCCTGTCAAAATGAACACTAACTGCCGCTCTCTGCCAAACAAAATAATGTACCTACAATCCTTGATGTCCACTGACACTTATCACAATACTGCGGTAATCACATTACAAGAAACATGATTACATGAACTGTACGATGACAATCTCATCTCTCTAAAGGACTTCATCCTATTTAGACAAGACCGAAAATGTGGTAATAAAAAAATGGGGGTGGAGTAGCAACTTTCAATAACTCCAAATGGTCTATTTCTAATAATGTTAGCTTCTCATTCTCAAATGACTTCATAGACTGTATCACCGTCAAATGTCGTCCCAAACATCTCCCCAAATATAAACACATCTTTATCACAAACATGTGCATTTCTCCAAGTTGCTCACTATCTAATCTTTCAAATTTTGCTGAGGAATTCACCATGTTTGCTGCTGCCAACTTCGATAACTCTCTATCTGTTATTACTGGGGACTTCAACTCGTCAGATTGCTCCTTCCTTGAAGCACTTGGTCACTCTAACATTGTCAAATTTCCCACTCGACTAGACAAAACACTTGATTTAGTTTTTACAAATGACGAAGGAATCTACGAAGCACGTAAACGTGTACCGATCCTCAACTCTGATCACTCTATTGTTCGTGTTCTACCTAAAATATACAGCAAAACACATATTAAAGTCTTCTCGCATCTGTCTATGAAAGCACAGCAAAGATGCTACTCATCCGAAAACTTACTCAATCTAAGGTGCATGTTACAAAATACTAACTGGGATTTATTCCATGAAAGTTCATTAGATGACACAATTGTCACTATAACGGATTATCTTAAGTTTTGCCTTGATATATGCTGTCCCAAACAAACACTTTTCAAACGCCTCGACCGCTTCTCATCTCCTTATCTCGAACAACTTCGCAGGAAAAAAGAAACTTTATACAAATCCAAAGACAAGTTAAGACTCAAGAAGATTAATGCTCAGATCAAATCTGAAATCAAAAATCTTAATGCTATCTATAATGATACACTTTTATCATGTTAATCTCCAATCAGCATGTGGAAACTTTTCAATGAAATTACTGGTAATACTAAGCGTTGTAATGCTTTTCCCTCTTATGATGTTAATGCTCTTAATCAGTCTTTTATACGCTGTCCTTCTACTTCAACTACTTCTAATGTTACCTACCATGTAGCTGAAAACTTTCATGACTTTAATACTCTCGATGTTCTAAAATGTCTTAAAACGCTCAAGCCCTCACGTAGTCTTGGTCCTGATGGTATACCTGCCTATGTTCTTAAACAATGTGCAGATGTGTTGTGTTCTCCACTAACCAACATCCTAAATGCTTCTTTCTCCAAAAATATCGTACCTGGTGCATGGAAAGACATCAGAATTGTCCCTGTCCCTAAACCTGGAAACGGCAAGAACGTAAAGTTCAGACCCATTGCCATCACTTCCCCGTTTCTAAAGCTTATGGAAAAACTAATACTTCTTAAACTTGAACACTCCCTTAAAAACTTCGAAGACCCCAAACAATTCGCCTATAGACAGGGTAGGAGTACATTAGACGCTGCAGCTGTCTTACACAACAACATCCTCTCATCATTAGATAAAGGTGCCAAATACGTCCGCTGCACGTTTCTTGACTTCACTTCTACTTTCGAATCTGTACCTAGATATCTCCTGCTAAATAAGCTCTCTTTGACAAAAACTGAGTCCTGGGTCACTAACTGGTTGCATTCCTACTTCTCTAACAGAAAGCAGTACACCGTATACAAAGGTAAATCATCCTCTGCTGTACTCACTGAAGCCGGAGTCCCCCAAGGCGCTGTCCTCTCCCCACTTCTCTTTTCTTTCTTTCTACATGACTTACCATCTTCAAATGACATTAATTTTGTCAAATATGCTGACGACCTGTCTGTATCTTTGCCTATCAAATGTCAAAGCGACTGCTCTAAACTTAATGGCTTTCTGTCAGAAATCAGCCAGTGGTCCAAGGAAAATGGTCTTACCCTAATACCCTCCAAATGCCAAACAGTCAATTTCACCTTTAGGCATAAATCCGACCTAAACAAACTGTTTGGCTCCCACGAGGTATGCAACATAGACGGCACTGAAATAGAAACCAAATCGGAAATTAAATACCTAGGCGTCATTCTATCTGCTGATCTCTCCTGGTCGTCTCATATCTTAGCAATTTCTAAGAAATTTTCCGTCTTACTTTCTGCATTAAGAAGTTAAAACACTCTGGTATTACCCAACCCTTACTCCTACAATTCGTTAATTCTCGCATCCTGCCTATTATTCTCTATTGTTCCCCCTTAGTTTTTCCTGGGCTACTGAAGAAAGACTATAACATTTTACGCAGGATGTTAAATGTTGTTAGCAGGGTAAGCAACGTGCCACTTAACAAGCTTGCTAATACTCTGGTTGACAGGCACATGGACTCATGTGAAAAATGGGCGAAATCCATTTTATCTAACTCACACCACCCTCTTCACTCACAACTCTCCCCTTGCATCTCATCAGGCAAAACCAGAAGCCTATATAGAAAACTATATGCTCGCACCAGCAAGTACAAAAACTCAACCATACCCTACTTAGCTCGTGTTCTGTGTGATAAAGAAAGCATTAGGCGTGACACCTATAATTCATTAAATAGTCAGTAGTACAACTGGATTTCGTCTTTCCAACTCACATCATTTATAGGTACAACATTTTCTTTCTTTCTTTTCCTTTTCTCTCTTTTTTTCCGTTATGTGCTGCTTTGTTTCTTTCTCTCGCTAACACCAGTAAATATGACTGCTCCCACTTTTCTAACACCTTCAAACATTGTTTCAGCTTTTCCTTTGCTACCGACATGCCAATATGTTGTTATAATAATGAACTATGATTTCCTCAAACTTTGTAGAATTCTATTTATTGGTAATGTACTAACTGGATGCAATACTGTAGTAAAAATGCTGAGAATTCCATTCTGTATCACATGTACTGTTTTGGAATAAAGCAAATTATTATTATTATTGTTACCTATATCACCGCATACTGTGTAATTT